ATTTTACCCAAGTTCTGATCGCCCGTTAACTGGCCATCACCAAAGCCGTTGACTGCCCTCTACGCTGGATCTCGGTGTGCCCCACCATCTCGGTGAGCCACCCTCACCGAAAATGTTTCTCCAGTATCTTCACCTACACCTTCAATTCCACACCAAATCCTCCCATCTCCAACACCCCAACCACAACTCAAAATGGTACGTTCCCTCCCCCTATACTCCCTCAAAGTCACTGACTTACAAAACTCAGGCTCCTCAACCACCAGGTCTCAAAAAGCCCTCCGCGCGCACCCTCCGCCACCAGCGAGTAACAGGGCAAATCCACCCTCAAGCCCCCCAAAAAGTCTTCCGCGACGACGCCGCAGTAACCGACTCCTTCCTCTCCAGCAAGCGCGACAAGCGACTCATCAAGCACTCCTCCTTCGTATCCCGCATCCAATCGGCACGTATCTCCAAATCCACAAAGCGGCGACGACCATCGAAGAAATTAGCAGCGAATCTAGAGAGTTTAGCTGATGCGCTACCAGAGCTAGAGGAAGGCGCAGAGGTCGAGCAAGGAAAGGTTAGGCATAAGAGCTTGAAGAGTAAAAAGGGTGCGTTGAAGAGGAAGGAGAGGGTTGTCAAGGGCGAGATGGAGAGGTTTGGGGTTAGTATGGCGAGGTTGACGCAGCAGGACGCTGTGCCTGCGCAGAAGGTTGAGGCGGAGGAGAAGACTGCGCCGGCGCCGACTGCGAATCGGTGGGCGGCGCTGAGGGGGTATATCTCTTCGACGATGGAGCAGAATCCTGCTTTTGCAGAGAAGAACTAAGCAGGTCGGCGTGGAGAGGTTACAAGATACCAAAGATGGAGATCAATTCCATATGCGACGTTACAAAAGGGGGGCAGATCCTATTTTCATAGAAATGTGTCTAGGCGTATGGAGTTGGAATCATATACTTCGATCAGAGTACTAGGACAGGCAATCAAACCTATTATAACCTTGCCTAAATGACATAAAGACTGAGGTAAATTGGCATAAGCTTAGGGGACTCCTTGATGAGTTTACCCTGTCATTTTCATAAACTTCTAGCCTTCCATCTCCCTTGAGAAGGCCTGGCATAAGACTTCACAACAGATACAATACTCGTCACGTTTATGCGTATAATTATTCTTCATGAGCTGTGCAAATGCACGCATGTCTTTCTTTCCACGTCCTACCAAACGCCTTCATCGCTAACTCGCATTACTTTGATATCTGGGAGTATCATTAAAACAACAAACGCGCGTATGGGCATCTTTTCTCTGTTACATGATAACCACATCCCTCTTACTGCTCCACGCTACCACCAACGCCAAGATAAAAAGAACACAGGGTTAATAAAAACGACAAAACGAGATAACAGAAAACAGGACTAATCGACCGTGGCGCATCCGTCGTAAAATTCATTTCATTACAGTGGTGGAACAAGTGCATCATTGTTTCTCGATCACACTTTGAGATGAAACAGTTGTTGCGCTAGAAGACCGCTTGCCCCGGACTTTGACGGGGGTTGGAGGACTTGATTGAATCCTGGGCTCTTTGGTTACTCGATCGAACTTGCATGCTTGTGGACCGAGAGGAGGTGAATCCTTGGAAGATCGAATTGGGTTCGGGTTTGTGCGCACACGGTTTCTCATGCCTCTCCAAGGAGGCTGGTCAACAAGTCTGGTGGGAGAAGTGCCCTGGGGTTTAGTGACTGGACCATTGGCAATTGAACCCTTGCCGCTTTGGTTGACGGGGGACTTCTTCGCCTCTTGAGAACGGGGAGATACACGGCGTGGTGACCGAGGTGGTGACTTGGGGGGCTGTCGGACGCTACGCGCCTTTGTCGTCTGAGCTTCCCTGATTTGTCTTATGAGTTCCTCGAATTCTTCGCAAGAGCCGTAGCAGTCCGTTCTCTATTCGATCCGCGGCGGTGTCTTGTTCGAAAATGGGCTGGCGCTTCTCCTATCTTGATTATTAGACACGCCATTCAAAGGAGAGACAGAAAAAGGAAGGATTGATGGCACTCACGATCGCCTACGCTCGCCCTCCTTGCGGAGGTTTTCGATAATTCGCATCATCTCTTTGCGGCCACCATAGCTGTCGACCATCTTACCACCCATGCTCATCGACACCTTCTCGCGGGCATTAGCGCAGAGAAGGCGCTTGACGAGGAGGTGGCGCATCAACAAGCAGACAAAGACGCCACAATCGCTGCCGTTCTCCTGCTGGGGACAATCGTCGAGGTTGATAAATCGAAGAGGTCGTCCGAGGATATTGGCAAGCTTGCGGGTTGCGACGTTGGCCTCGGAGTAGTTGGCACCACCAAGGGAGTCGTAGTGGAAAGCGACACCATCGAGTGTCGAGACAAGGAGAAGTGACCAATGGCTACCACCTTCAGCGACGCTCACATTACGATTGTCGTTGATGGGTAGGAAGATATGGGTGACCTTCGAGAAATCGGGAAGGGCGGACTGGACTGATCGGAGGTCGGGTTCTTTCATAAGGAGGAATGTCATGCTAGGACGAAGTAGGATGATGCGAGCTTGAGGATACTTGGGAAGTGTTTCGCGTTCCAGATATTCCTCCCAGAAAGCAATGTTGTTATCTGTTAACCAGTCGTGCTTGAGGGCCTTGATATCCTCAGCTGTCAAGAGGACATCATAGTAGCTGAGGTAGGGCTTTTCGGGGGCAAGCTATATAAGTTGTTAGCGTCAGCGCCACTAGACAAGTCGCATTCCATGATAAACTCTACCAAAAGCGCATCTCAAAGATAGGCGCATTGGATCGATACCTAGGTAGACAAGCATGCACGGAGATGCGGGGTTACAGTTACATACCGAATCGCCAAAGTGGCGGGCCATCCTCTGACGAAACGGCATCTTGTGTTGCTTGGATATCGAGGATGAAGTGGAAGTAGACGAGGTCGACGAACGAGGAGAGATTTCAGGAGAATACGATGTCGAGTCTGCGGGTGTGATCTCGTAGTCGGAATTGGAGGTTAAGGTTGAGTCCGAGGTGTCAGCCGAGCTTGAGCTGCCTGGTCGTCGTGATCGGCGGCTCCGAAAGTTGAGAAGACCGTGCAAACGGCTGTAGAACGCAAGTGTCAGAGAACGATTGGTAAAAAGACAGGGACACAAAGGGTGATAATGCGCTGAGGATTGAGAAGTAGTAGTTTGTAAAAGATGAAAGTGTTAAAAGGATGAAGAAGTCAAAGATGGAAGTCAATCTGAGCTGAAGCAGAAGAACAGATACAGCAAGTGGCAGTGTAAGTGAACAATAGGTCGAGGACACAGTGAAAGCGGGGTCAACAGTGGTAATCTGAATAAGAGAAATCCGTACACAATAGAAACAGCTCCTTTGAACTAGTGGCAGTGGTATTATACCGAGGCTTTTCAGGTAGTTTTCGACCCTTGTGCAACGTGAAGAAAGGTTGAGGTCTGGGGAGAAAAAAAAAGAGAAAGGAAAAAAAACTGGAGCGAAGGGCAGTGTCTGCAGCTGCCGCGTTGGACAAGAGGCTCAGCCCAGTCCACGAGCCCAGGACGCAGTGGAGGCGGGGCAGACGATGGCACTGGCATTTTAGCGCCCCTGCTTGTAAGAGATGTAATGCGGGCAGCCAGCTTTGACTGACGCAGACGGGCCAAAACTTAGGACCTTTTTATCCAGTGACAAAAAGAGTTAGTGTAGATTTAGGGGGTCTTGAGACCAGTCTTTTTCATCACCTAGGGCGAAGAATGGTTGGGTCCTCCCTTATGCAGAGTGGTCATATGACGATGTGACAAAGAGTGGTTGGTGATATAGGGAGGGAGATGTGCCTATTGTTCATGACTGAAACAGAATAAAGGCACTGGCCTCTGAATAAACGGAATCCAAACGAAACAGAACAGAACAGAACGAGACAATCGTCTTACTCACCCTGGTGTAGAAATATGCCCCGCATCATCTGAACCCATCCTGTCGTGCCACTCAAATTTCAAGCTGTAACAGACAAAGTGCAGGATATCCAAGCGCAAGTGGTCCAAGCAAAAGCAAAGAATAACGTAATAATTAAATATTAATAAGAAAAGAGCAATTAATATTCGTAAATCGGTTTTGGTATATTCATCGCAGTGGCTTCATCGGCAGGTCTGGATCTCTTATATCATGCATACCATCTAAATCTCGGACTTGGGAATGACCCCGTCCGCGCCACAAAGTCACTACGTCACCCACAACCCAAGGTAAACCACCATCGTCATCGTTTCCCACGTTCGTTATCGCGCCGAAAACGCCTCCCGGACTGTACACTCCAGGCATCGACATCACCAGCCACGAATGCAGTAATATATCAGCTCGATAGGGCAGGCAGCTAATCTTGAAGATCGTGATGCTTATTATGACACGCAAGATCAACAGTACTCGTCTCAAAGTGTCTCATGGTTATCATCTTGTCTCCATCGTAATATTCGTCTCCCTCTCTCGCTTCCTATTAACCGCTATTCGCCAAGTATTTTTCCACCCTCATCCAGAAGCCAGTCTGAAGCCAGTCTACGATGCTTCCCGTATCAAGCCTAGCCTCATCGAATAAGCGAAGAATAGCTCTCTTCCCATTCATCCAACCATTCAGCATGCCTAGAATGCCACCAGTCTCAAACCTTGGATTTGCTTCACACCCCATCTCAATATCGTCTCAATCGTCTTAAGATCGCTCCATATCTTGCCCAGATTCTGTAGTACGTGACCACGAGTGCCATCATAGCGAGGACATCACTTCTCAATAAGTCACTATCAATGCTCAGCGACTCTCATCAAGCATAAGGCCAGGCCCGGGATACTTACCGCTCGACTAACATGAAACTGACCCATCAATCAACCTTTTGATCCCTGCCGCCATTGAACCCTGATTTTCAGGCCCCATTCCACCAACTGCCATCACATACCCACAACTGACTCAAACTTGCCCATTCCCCGGCTCCACCAAATCCCATCGTCTGTCATTACAAAATCTGTACAGTAAATCATCTCAATCTTCGTAGCCTGCAAGATTTCCCTGCATCAATCGTCCATGAAGTGCTCGTAAACTTGTCGTCGCTTGTTCAAATAAGTGACGGCGCCTGGCTGCCGTTTCATTCAGTTGCTGCATCGCCTTTTCTCGTATCTTTCCGCGCTCATCAATCGCTGCCTTGGCTGCCCGCGTCCCCCGGAGGAACCTATCACTATCCTTCTTCCACGTTTCATTGAGCGCTTGCCTCTCTTGCATGTAGCGTCGTTCAATCTTGTCCACGCAATTGATGCTATTCTTCCGATAGGCATCAGCGCCACGGTAGATGGTCGCTTCCTTGGCCTGGAGATGATCCAGCATCATCTAGGCAGCATGTTAGCATTGAGCTGACCTTCGGTAAGGGACTTACCTCAACTAGTCCATGGAGTTTCTCTCCTATCTCTGCATTCGGCCCCGCCGGTCGTGTCTGTCTGGGAGACTCTCCATTGCCGCGGACTTTGTCATGCTCCATGGCCTGTTCCACTTCAGCAGTCGCTTCCTTTTGTCCCTGCAGGGATGCCAGTATCTGAGCATGAATATCTTGATCACTTGAACTTGGCTCGGGTTGCAAATTGGCAGGCTCAGTTTTGAGCTTCGTGTTTGGTTTGGGCCTCAATCCCACTCTGTTCTTGTCGGGAATGGTCTCTGCAGCTGCCAGACTAGAGAGGTACTCTTGTTGTAAGTAATTGCCATCAGGATATGGGGATTCCTAATCCGCAGTTCTTCGAAGGCGTTGGGATCTTCTAGGCTCCATCCGCTGACTGCGCTTGGGCACTTCTGCAGATTCAGCTTCTTCCATAGCACTTGGACTTGTTCCAGCGACAAGCTGCGCTGGGCTTGTTTCGAGTGGTAACGGGCTACCCGCTTGGCTGACACTGAAGCTCCTTGAAGTTTTACTGATCTTGCGAGGTGGGTGAGAGGTATCAACGATGGGATCAACTGTCGTAGCAGGTCTTTTCAAGGTCCTTGCTTGTGAGGCATCTTGTTGAATGAGAATGTTAGTATCACGAGCCGACAAAACCTCCCGGCCCTGTTGAGCTGCACGATTTCCCTTCGTGCTTGGAAGAGGCTCTTCAACAAGCTTCTTAGGGTCCCGCTTAATCGTCATGGTTGTCCTCTGCCTAGAGATTTGTTCTTGTTGGGGACTTGAAGGGACAAGAGCCTTGGGATTCTGCTGTAGGGTCTGTGGCCGTGTAGAAGGCTGCGCTTTCTCGCGATGAGCATGGTCTGCTGGCTCCACGTCGACAATTGGGTCAACAAGCAACTCTCCCATCACTGATTGGGACTGCCTTGCTGGTTGGGCCTTCTCTTTTGGGTGTAAGTCTTCGATTGGGACGAAGGCATCGTCATCATCCGACAACAAAGAGCTTTCAGGGTCGCTAGAGAGCACGATAGGGTCCCGGGTCGACCCCTGGGTCTCATTTCTTGCTTCTGGTGCCTCTTGGACTTTTGAAGGCTGTGATACTGGTTCACTTTCCTCTTTCATCTTGGCTCGGGTTATTCTCTTGGTAATCGCGGGTGAAGGCTTATGTGCTACTTGTGCAGCAGGAACTGCACGTTCTTTTCCCTTTTCAGTCGTATCAGGTTTCTCTTGAGGCACCAGTTTCTTTAAACCTGACTTTCGTGTTGCCGGGGGGGCTTTCTGGGAAGCTTTCTCCTTCTGAGGAGTATCTTTAGCGGGCGGTTTACGCTTTGGCGCAGGCTTTCGTTTCGAGCCGGGTGTCCCTACACCTGCACCTACAATAGGTGAGACAGAGGCAGCATACGCTGTTCTGAGACTGCTCACGATGGGCATGCGAAGTGGCTGTTCCGGTACCTTGCGTGGTGTTACCTCTTTGATTTCCTGTGTCTCTTCGTCAAATTGGATGGGAGTCTTCGCTCGTTGTTTCCGGCCCTTCTTTTCCTTTGGTCGCTGCTCGCTTGTTTGTATATCCTTAGATGTCATTGCGGCAGGCTTCCCTTTTAATACCTCTTTGCCTTTGCGAGTGTCGTTCTTCCGCTTTGGGGGTTGGGCTGGTGGCTTTTCAGGGGGTGAAGATGCTTGCTCCTCTACTTCGTCTTCTCCCGATGGTTCCAGTTCCTCGACCAATATTCTCGTAAGGGCATCTTGCTTTTTTGAGGTCTTTCCTGGCCTGCCTTTTGTCTTTGAGTTCTGTGACGAATTTGGCTTCTTAGTACGCTGTGAACTTTCTGGGGCAGCTTCAGTTTCTTCCTCGTCTTTTCGCGATGTCTCAGCTTCAAGCTCAGCCGTCGACTTGGGAGGCGTGACATCATATAGCTCATCTTCCGGCAAGTGATCCATGGCTTCTAATTCAGACAAAGGTGGTAGTCCAAGAGACTGTATCGAATCTTGGATGGTACTTGGTAGTGGTGCCAAAGGATTGTTTTCCACGAAATTCAGTGCCTCGTCATCTCCGATTTGAGAGGCCGCCAACGAATAATAAGGTGAACTTCGTCGTATAGTAGAAGCTGTCTCAGAAAAGTCAACAAAAGGAGGTTCTTTGCTTTCTTGATCAGGCTCAGATGGCAGTGGCTGAGTGTTGGGAAGCTTGCCTAGACCGGACTTTGGACTGGAAAATTCGTCGAGAAGAGAGTCTTGGTTGTCTAAAAAGCTTGGTTCGTCTTCCCGTAAAGGCGTGCTTCGGCGTGTTGAACCGATTTCAGACCATGAGAAATCAGGTGGTGGTTGAGCGGATGGAACGGCTTGAGCTTCAACCAGCCGCATCAGATCATCCTCGTTGAGGTCATCATCAAATTCATTTGTTGAAGGTATCTCAGAGTTTGGAGGCCCAGAATTTGCGCCCTGATTTGGTAATGCCGGTGTTGGATCCTGAGTCTGAACTGCACGAGGAGACTGATCGTGACGGTTTGGGGTAGTGTCGAGTTGCCCCAGGGCCACAATCCTCGCTGAATGCCGCGTACGCTTTGAGCGTGGGCCAGACTTCGCACCTCTTCGCGGCGGCATTGGTGCATACTGCAAGACTGTCAGTGGTTGAAACTGTACTGGAGGGGTACACAACGTTTGTTGTAGGGGATCTGACTTACAGTTCGCCTAAACGATTGGAAGGTGTAATTTGGGCTATCACCTGCCTGAGCGAAGGAGAAATAAAACGATGCCGAGATCACAAGCGATATCAAAGAATGTATCCGAACATGGAGTTTTTGTTTTGAGAACGTTTTGTGATTAGGTAGGTACTTGGCTGAGACGGGTAGGCGCAGATAGTTGAAGCTGCTGCTAAACGGAAAGAGTGGGCACCCTTAAGAGGTTGAATGCCTCTTGCCTGCTTCATTGTGATGGCACTTGCCCAATCATTCGTTAATCACTGCGTGGAAATGGTTTAAAGGCTCACTTAGGACTTGAGGTAAGGTATGATAGGTAAAAGCGTTATATATAACACATTCATATCATCGTCTTGAGGTTAGGTTAGATTATCAACATCAACAATGCAAAGAATTCTCCTCAAGTCCAGCTTCTATATCAACAAGCCAACTTGAGGTACACTTAGCGCATACAAATTACGCCTTACCGCAACTATTCTGGCATAAAAATATCAAAGAAACCCTTTCACTGGCTGAAATAAATCAATGAACAATAGATGGTAATGGAGCAAACAACGTCAGTTGTTGAGGTGGTTGAATTGGTCCAGCCTACCCTGCACATCCGGAGGGTTTCTCGACACAACGGAGGAATTCACCATGTTAATCTGCGATCAATTGCATCGGGCCATCGCTTGGTAATCTTTAAGCCAGCCAATTCGTCAGTTAATCCTGGCAAAACCCGATAGTCCGGGATTCATCATTTGCGCAGCGGACTTTAACTGCGGACCATCGGTCGGCGCAACTATTCCCATGCCTTATCCGCGTGGCGCATTATTCAGCAGCGCAGCAAGGGACGCCCACTATCTCCGCTCCGCCCGAATCAATGACCCGTTTCATGATGAACAACGCCTTCTATCTCCCCGGAAACCCATGCTTTGAACGTTTATTGTGATATTTATTATTTACGAGCGCTTTATATATCCCTCCTCCGCCACCTGGCAAGATCACCGATCTACCTACCTACCCTTAGCGACACCTGTGTAACGGCCCTATCAATCAGTTGTAAGCTTACGTCTAAGCTTCTTGCGCGACGTCATGTCAAACCCAATGCACGCCCGCGACGCAGCCAGTAAATCTTCGCTTTCTGTCGTTCTGCGCAAGTTCAGTGTTCTTGCGCAGCGGCCCGAACCGAAGAAGTATCCGCCGATCTCTTCTATCCCTCGTACATCAGCTGCACGCTTGGCCCAAGCTGCTGAGGATCATATCGTCGATCGAGACCATCCTGCGCCAAAGACGTATCTCTATCTCGCTTATGGGTCCAACCTCGCCGCTGAGACATTTCTGGGCGTTCGTGGCATTAGGCCTCTGTCTCAGGTGAACGTCTCAGTGCCAACGTTGGAGCTTAAGTTCAACCTTCCTGGAATTCCTTATCGCGAGCCATGCTTTGCGAACGTCGATTACAGAAAGCTTCCTGAGAAGCCAAAGCTACCTCCCAAGGTGCCCATCCCACCTTTTGAGCCTCCGCAGCCACCACACTCTGAGGAGATCAGGTGGGATGAGGGCCTTATGGGTGTGGTCTACGAGGTGACAGAGGAGGATTACCGCACCATCATCCGCACTGAAGGTGGTGGCGCAGGCTACAAAGAGATTGTTGTGCCCTGTATACCATTGCCTCCCAAGATGTCCATCCCCGAGAAGCCATTCCCTGATATTCCTCGACCTTTTCTGTCAAGAACGCTTTTTGCACCACAGATTCCTGACAAGGACTTACCTGACGACCCTCGCAAGCACAAGTGGTGGTATCGCTTTCTGCTCGGCCCTCAGCGTGAGCCTGGCTACGCACAAGCCAGTGCTCGGTATCTCAATCTCATCAAAGACGGTGCCAAGGAACATGAACTTCCCGATGGATACCAGCGTTACCTGCACTCACTACAGCCATATACGATAACAACTTTGAGACAGAAGATAGGGGCATTCTTTTTCTTGTTCTTCACTGTCTTTTTCTTCGGAACGGTCATCCTCCTATCCAAGTTTCTAGCCGACAAGCGTGGCAGAGTGCCCCAATGGTTAGCTGTCACCATGACTGTTATGTTCACTGTTGCCTGGATGGTTTATGATAATGTTTTCAAGCCTGTTTTTGGAAATGGCGAAAGGACTGAAGAGAAGGACGAGAGGAAAACACACGGGCGGAAACGTTCTCTGTCGGCCATGCTTAATCACTTCCCATCGGCAGATGAGGAGAAGGTAGAATTATTGGGCGAGTATAATTGAGAGGACGGCCGAGTAAAATTAGTCGTGGACTTTTAACTGTTCTCAATCGTTGATATGGGATACGTCTGTTTTTTTCATATTAACATTCACATTGGCAAAAGTCTAGATTGGAGAGTGATATAATTTCAGGTCAAATATTTCAGATAACCAAATGCAGGCATTCGTATCTTTGAAATACACTGACCTCTACACGGATAAAAGGGATGGGAGTGAGATGACTCCGTTGGGGTAAACTTGGCAACGTCAACATGCAGTTGAGCTCTAGCGTCTCTAAACCCGTTACAATGCAACGATACATCCTCGGCAGTGGTTGATATCGTGACATGAAGCGACTCTTAGTAGCGACAACCTCAAAATCTACATCATTTGTTGCAAGCCCTTGATTTCTTTATGTTCTTTAACATGTGCTCGTCACGCGACAAGGGGATCGGCCCGCGGATTACGGAACGGGGCTCGGTGCTGTAGCTGTTCCTGGATTATGCATCTTTGCCCCCTTGTCTCCCGGAGAATCCTAGACTTTGCAGAGATCCTTGTTTCGAGGTTCTTTGTTCGACATGTGAAATCCCACTTAAAAAAGTTGAATTGGACTTTTATGCTGTTTCCATGTGATTGAGGCTATCATTGCAAAGTGAAATTATTCTTCAAGCGTGCTTATAAACTGTTCTGACTTGTATGCCTGTAACTCTGAGGCTCTTCTAGAAAAATAGCTTCCAATTGACATATGCAGCCACAGCAGTGAATATCTGCTTGCATGTGAAAAACTGCCCCTCGGCCTCCTCAAGGTCTCGAGATTTCTCCAGCTCCATTATCACGGATATCAATGGGGTTTTGATGGGACGCTTTCCCTCTTGGAGCAGGCGGTGTCACTTATCTCATTCTGCCATGCGTCATTGTGGCTTGCTCCAGGGTTCAACAACCTGGAAAGCTGGAGCTGGTTCCCTCGGACTATTCAGCTTCAGTACCCCTCATAAAGCTCTTTTTTCGCCCTTACCTTGCACAACTCTCGATTCTCCTTCTCCCCCGTATGTTTCGATCGCTTGTAGTGCGCTCTTCTTTTGTCTTTGCCAAATCTTCGAGATTACTGTCTTGTACTACTCATATTCGCACTTATTCCTCTGCGACATTCGGCAACATGGCGAGTTTGGGTGGACATTCAAAGAAGCACAAGGTGACCATTGTGGGATCCGGTAACTGGTAAGTCTTCCGCTTCTCCGGCTCCGCCTCCATCTTTCTTTGAGCCATTGACTGACACTACTGTCTAGGGGCTCAACAATTGCCAAGATCGTCGCTGAAAACACACGCGCCAACAAAGATCTCTTCGAGGAAGATGTCCAGATGTGGGTCTACGAGGAGGAAGTGACGATTACCAAGGACTCCAAGTTATATGACGAAACCAACGGCGACAAGCCCCAGAAGCTCACAGAAGTCATCAACAAACACCACGAGAACGTAAAGTACCTACCCGGTATTCCTCTGCCCTCAAACATCATCGCCAACCCCGACATTCGCGACGCTGTCAAGGACTCTACCATCCTTGTATTCAACTTGCCCCATCAGTTCATCGCAAACGTCTGCAAGCAGGTCAACGGACACATTCTTCCTTATGCTAGAGGAATCAGCTGTATCAAGGGTGTCAATGTCACTGATGACGGTATCAGCTTGTTCAGCGAGTGGATTGGTGATGGTCTAGGCATTTACTGTGGTGCCCTCAGTGGTGCTAACTTGGCTCGTGAGATTGCTGAGGAGAAGTGGTCAGAGACTACTATTGCTTACGACCCCCCTGCGCTCGACAACAGCAGAGCTCCTACACCACGAACCGGTAGCCCCAACCCTACAATTGGCGAGCTCCCTGATATGCAGCACAAGGACGTTCGAGGCCGAACTTCCAAGACCAAACTCACCGCTATGCCAGCTGATTATCCTCCTCTGGACCAGGATTGCTTCCGAACACTCTTCCACCGACCTTACTTCCACGTCCAGATCGTCTCCGACGTTGCGGGTGTATCTTTGAGCGGTGCCTTGAAGAACGTAGTTGCTCTCGCAGCTGGTTTCGTCGACGGTCGTGGTTGGGGTGATAACGCAAAGGCAGCCATCATGCGCGTCGGTCTCATGGAAATGGTCAAGTTTGGCAAGGAATTCTTCGGCGAGACCGTCCACACAGCTACCTTTACCGAATCCTCAGCCGGTGTCGCCGATCTGATCACATCCTGCTCCGGCGGTCGTAACTTCCGATGTGCCAAGAAGGCTGTCGAGAAGGGAATCTCCGTACAAGAGGTTGAGAAGCAGGATCTCAACGGACAGAAGATCCAGGGTACAACCACCGCAGAGGAAGTGAACAGTTTCCTCAAGGCTCGCGGTCTGGAGTCGGAGTATCCGTTGTTCACAGCGGTGAATGCCATTCTTAACGGAGAGGCCAAGGTGGACGACATCCCCCATCTTGTGCAGGATTCTTAATTTTGAAAGATGAAATATTTAGCGAGTGTATCGTTGATTGCATGTATGCGCTGTGGCGTTTGTATGGCTTACGTGGTTCTACATGGTTTACTCGGATCAGGAGGGAATGGGCAGTGATTTAGAGTCATGAGTGATTGGGGCTTGCCTTGCTAAGTAGGAGGACGGGTCATATACATGAAAATGAACATAGAAATGATATCTACTTATGAATACAGCTATTCTTTGAGCATGATTGATTGTTTTGCATGAGGAGTCGTGGTTCGGTTGCTTATGAGACACTGAGGATTCCTGGACTTGACAATGAGCATTGTGAGGCTAAGACATGCATTGTTGCTGAAGATTTTATCGTAACTATTACCTATTGCGGCTTGGCAGGTTCCTCGTGGGTTGTACAGATCAACAGTTTGTGTTTATCGCAACGTTTTTGTTAAGAAGGATCGTGGTTGTCGGAATTGCATTCGACTATGTCAGATACTCTCCAAGATGATGAACCGAAAGATATTGAAAGAAAACACTTGATCTCGCCGAATTCATGAGAATGGAGGAGGATTAGTTATGCGGTGGAAGCCGCAATTCGGCATGAGACTCCGCCTTCAGATGAGACAAGATAACATGGCAACGGGAAAGACCGAGCAAAGAATGCCTCTTAAACCACCAGAAGTCTCGCTTTTCTTCTTCAACCTTTCATCTCTTCTACCATTCATTTCTTTGGACATTCATTTCCTTTCAGAATCCTTTATTGACCCTAGCCAGCTTCTTCAAGCATCACCATTAATCCTTTTTCGGCTCTCTCTTTATAAGCTGGCTTTTGATTCACCAGCATGCCTCATTCCAACTAATACTCGCATTCTCATTTCACTACATATACGGAAGATACAAGTTCCAGGCCTCGATAGCACGTCAGCATCATGATGGCGGAAGCTGATTCAACCGTGCCACAGACATCGATGGACCCTGTTCAGAATTTCGGACACTACATGAGCGGAGCAGATCAAAGCATAGAGAATGGCCACGGTGAGAAAAAACATAAGAAAGTCAAATACCGCTTCCTATCGCCTTCAGAATGGGCCATCCTAGCTCGGGGAGTTGGCGGGATCAGGGATATAGAGCATAATAAACCTGTTCATCCGACTAATAGCTTCTGGCCCCCTCGAGGCATCCCCCAGGGCCTCTATCGCGACTGCATCTACCGTCGTACCGTTTCGTCCTACTCATTTCACATCATCGGCCTCGTTCGCGCAATTCTATTCATCTTGCAGTTGATCATTGGTGCTAGTATCACAGCTCTCAGCGCTGGAGGCGCCAACGATACAGCTATCACCATTCTCGCTGCATCCAACACAGTCATCGCGGGGCTGCTGGCTCTGTTGCACAACAGCGGTATTCCTGATCGATACAGATACGACAAGTCCGAGTTTCAAAAGGTCGAAAATCATATTAGAGAAGTTCTCGCCACGGGTATTGTACGTGCGGACCAGTCGGTCCAAGAGGCTCTCGCTAAGTGCTACGATCGTTTCGAACACGCCAGACGGACAGTCGAAGCCAATATGCCATCATCTTATGCCCCAAGTTCATCAAACCCGCCTTCACGACGCGGATCCCAAGGTCAACATACGCCAATGCCACCGATGCCGATGCCTATGCCGTTACCAGTACGAGCACCGACGACAGTGGCATCAACACCGACACACGCGACGAGGGCAGCAACAGAACTTATCACACCGCCTAGGATGAGGCCACTACGTGCTGAAGCAGCCCAAGAAGAAAAGGGTCCAACCACCAGCAAGCCTAGCGAATGATGCTAGACTAGAGCTCGGCAAAGAATCTCCAACGGGATGCGGTCATTTCCTAGCTTGTCGCTTATCAGATAAATTACCTACCGAAATCGACTTATTTTGCGACCAGGGCTGTTGTTGTACCTGCATTAGTTTGATTATTGGCAAGAGATTAAATTACCACCCAACCTAGTTCTCGTTCCGTCATAGCCTCTCACCCATCAGGATTCAACATCAGCATCCTTCATGCATTGATTGGGACTTTGAATAGACGCTGCCAGAAATAGGAGTCAAAGGAAACTCAATTCTGACAAAGGCTCCATTTGTTTCTCATTACTGCATTTGGACATATCGTGACCTGAGACCTCCACTGATCAACCATGAAACGAACCACGGACCTTGTCACAGTTTAATTGCTTGCCTTGGCCTTCCCCTCTTTAACCGTTATTGACGTGGTGCGACCAGGGATCATGGTCTGGGGCGCCTAGTTTCATGATGCTTTGAAGGATGGCCTCCCCCCACTGCGGCCATTTACCACTTACACTAGACAAGGGCATTGTGACAGTCTGTCACTCGACGCCATTTTACTCTAATTTACTTAAATCTCTCGCTGTGTCTCACGACTCGGGAGTCGAAGCCTCTTCGCTTCTTCTCTTTCACCGTAGTCAGTCCTTACCCGCCTCCCACAGCGTGATCATGCCTTTGTTATAGCCAAGCAACACACTCATTTATCCAGGCCATACCCACCCAAGTCACTCTTTTTTACTGGATTGGATCGTCTATTCATCATGATTATGATTTCTAGCCCGCCTACTCTTCCCCGCAGGGTTGTTCAACTGCTTGTTCTTGTTGTCGTTGTTGTTCTCTTCTTTCAGACAAGATGGCTGCACTGGCCTCGAACAGAGGCAGACACTGAAATCGCCATCAAGGGACCAGTTCCGGAAGAACAGTACCTCGAGCGGCTAAGGCAGAAAATTGGACTTTCGGACCAAACTTCATGGACTGCATGGAAAGTCCGTGTTTCAGAGCAGGACTCTGAGTATACTTCAGTCACGAAAATCGATACAGACTTTCATTCAAATCAACCACGACTTATCGATACCAAGACTCCCGAGAGGAGAAACTTGGTTGCACGACAGGAACTTAACCTCCCGATTGTAAGAGGACCGAGACCCGGACAGATCGACGCCTCGGACTTTGTGTTTGCGATCTCGACGAGTTTTGATCGTGTTGTTAGGGATGATTACGCTGTTGCGAAGGATTGGGCACGGTGGATGACTGGTGGGAATCAGCATGGCAACGGAGCGAGTTTCCTACTTGTTCTGGACCAGGGCCATTATCAACAGGCGAAGAAGCTGACCGAGGTGTTGGTGTCATTGGGCATCGATGCTCACGTTACTATCTCTGAGGGTCAGATCTCGACCGCGAAGAGATATTTCAACATGATGGAATCGGTCAAGAAGTATAGTGCTACACTCGCACAGAAAGGACAGATGAAGAAGTGGTACGGCATCTTGGACGAGGAGATCTTTCTACCCAACCTTTCATATCTCCAGGAACGACTATTCGCGTACAACTCTGAGAAGGAACTGTACATTGGATTACCAAGCGAGAGAGGAGACTGGGCTATCGGCGAGGGATTCATGACGACGTATGGAGGTGGAGCCATCTTTCTTACACGACCTGCCATATCTAAAGTCACGCATCTTCCATGCTTCGATGGTGTGGAAGACAGTCCTACGAGCAAGAAACGCTGGGATGGTGCTCTTCAGGATTGTTTGGCGAAGCATACCAAGATGAAGATGCACATCATCCCGAGCTTCTATTCACCCAAGGATAACGACGATTACTCTTCCCATCTGGATAGTTATGAGACGGGCGTTCAACCCCTGGCATTACACGACTATGGAAAGCGTCATCACCTCACCCCAAGCCAAGCTCATCTCGTCACCGACGTCTGCGGCGAAGCATGCTTCCTCCAACGCTACCGCTTCCGCGACAACTGGGTCCTTGTAAACGGTTACACCATAACCGAATACCCGGATGGAATCCACCTCTCGGACATGCCTCTATCAACCGCCGGAAAGGCTAGTTCTTCCCGTCGTTCCGTCATTGGCCCCGTGAAGCTCAAGGAGCGAGACACAGACCGAAAGATGCTGTTCTGGACAGGACGACGAAATGTGTGGAAACTGATGGACTCTGTCACTACCGCTGAGGGCGATGTGTGGCAGGCTTACGTGAAAAGAGGTGTTATCGATGAGCCGGCTTTGAAGAAGAGATGGGGTGAGGAAGTGGGTGATATCAAGGATAGTGTTATTGTGCTGGTCTGGGAATCAGCGAAATGATTATGATGGCTTCAAGGATTCTTATGTATGTATGTTATGGTTACGGATCGTCCTTTGGATGAGATTTTTATTTAGCACTTATGAAGATTGATATGTTATTTCATTCAAGTATATTGTTTTTGCACTAAAGAAGTTATTACTTGGCGATTTTCTGATAGGACAGTCACAAGTTATGTTTTAAATTGATCGGTGGTGGTACAATCTATACTGTCGATGCAGTAAGATATCAAAACTTGCGCCATGTTATAACCAACAATAAATATATTATTCTTTTTATTTAAGACAAGCAAAGAACAATTTATTAAACACAAGTATTTCTATACTTAAAAAACAAAAAGAAAAAAATAATAACACCCAATGCAACTCATATCTCTCCTTATCTCTGGGCAATATGCCCTAGTCCTTTTGCTTGGGGACATATAATTTGGCCCCCCACTGGCCGAGGTAACCACTCACCCAGTAGTCTTGCCCGTTCTCCTTCTCCTCCAGTCGGTCCTTGTAGCCGACGATGAAGTCGACCACGGAGTCGGGGAAGGGCACCTGCTCCAGGAGCCCGAGGCGCTCCCCCGCTGCGCACCCGAGACTGGTAAACGAGATACCATCGATCTCGAGAGCAACCCCCGAGAACTCGTCCGCAGCCTCGGGGCGGTCAGGTGCCCGCCTCACCTCTGCATTGATATCTGCTATTGCCTTTTGGATGGTGCACTGCTCGCACCGCTCGTCGATGCTACCACCCTTGCCCACGACATGCGGGGTGAACGCCATGCGTGGTATACTACACGGCATGGGTTCCCCGTAGAAGGGATGTCCGCAGGCAGGGTGGTAGCAAGCGGCGCGACACTTGATGCAGGTCGCGGGTTGCCCCTCCTGCGTCTTTATGTCGAAGAATTGCTTGACGCAGGAGGCGCCAAAGATGTGGCCGCAGGGGAGGATAACGGCCTTGTGGCTCTCGCCGACTTCTTCGTCGACGACGTGCTCGTGGGGGAAGACGGTCACGTCGGTTCGGCAGACGACACACTCGATCGAGACATCCTTGAACTTGAGCTTGTTTTTGAGGATGCTGGCTTCTAGGTTGGGCCAGTAGCTCTCGCCCGAGTCTTCTGTGATGACTGGTTCATCGTCGGGGGGTTGGCACCACTTTTCGTTGTTGTTGAGGTCTTCCAGGACACAGGTTGTGTCCTTGGAGCGGAGGGAGGAGATGTGGTTGAGGAGAGTGGCGGTATGTCCACACATGATGAAAGATGGTGCGGGAGATGACGTGCAAGATAAGGTGAGAGGTAGTATGAGAGGTAGTGTAAGGCGTAGCGTGATGAGAGAGTTGGATGTCGAGGGCTGTCTGTCGAGACAATATATGTAGATACGATGTATATAGAGAGAAGATATGTGTCGAGAGAAGATATAAAGTCGCTTGTAATGTACGTCAAGGATGATAGAGGTCAAGCTGATGCAAGTGAAGCTGATGATACAAGATCGTAAGATATCAGGTAACTTGTGGCAGAAGACTTGTGACAGAAGACTTGTGACAGAAGACTTGTGATGGTGACAGAAGACTGGTGACAGCTGGTGACAGAAGACAACTTGATGAAAGAAGAAGATGAAGAAGAGCTGAAAAGGGAGAGAACAAAGGCGAGGGAAGGCGATCTTTATAGCCAGAGGAGTGATTAAGTTCTACTCAGATCGATGGACTTCGCGGTGGGACTTGGATCGCTTTCAGTCCATGCTTTCATTTCCAAAGTATATGGCCGCGTTCTGAAGCTCATAACGAACACTTGCAGTCAGGTGTGATGAAGAAATGGGAACAAAAGTCTATATCAACACTCAAAATTATTCAAAGGACCAGTCAATGGATGTTCCTGGAACAGAGACTAACTCACAGGGATATACGCGAGGAAAAGCTTTCATTTGCTGGGAAGATAGTTCTGAAAAGATTCACTCGTAGTGTTCATGTATTGGTTGACCTCTTTGATCGAGTCACCTTTGTAGTCCATTTAACCTTGAACTGTGGCGGTTTGTTCACGTACACACGTATAAGCTTGGCACCAGAATGAGCAAGTTTTTAAACATCAGCATTTAGACTGGTCTCTCACTGGATGCCTGGTTTTAACATTATACTTCTAAAACGGCGTGACGTACTATTGGGTCGTGAGAGGACAAAATGAAAGCATAATCCGCGGAACACTCGCGATCTTTCGAAGAAGCTACAATAGTGAGGCCTCGAATCATTGCTGTCGTATTTATCTTCTTGTTCGAAGCATCAAGTTAAGCATGTGTGTAAGCTTTTGTAACAGTGCCACGAACAGAGTTCTATTGACCACCATGTCTGGGGGAACAAAGTATACACTCTCTAACTTCATTTTAAGATGTTGAAAACCCGTGAAAAAAAACTCCTCTCAGCCAATTATGGCCTCCAGACCATTGGCCGCGGTGAATATTGCTTGGCTCGACTTTGGACTCGGGGTGTGAGGGAGATTTGGTTGGATGTCTATTGAACAAGCTTTTTCTCTTATGCAGATGGGAACTTGAGAAAAATAAATGCATTCCACTTGCTTTTAGTTTCGAAAGTATGTAGGCTCTTTGTTCGATGACAGATGGCACTGCAGTATGGTGACTGGACTATCGGTTCCTACAGGCGAACCTATGATCACCCACCCAGCACTGGGCTCTACCCGACTCAAACAGAAGCGTCCAGAATCCACGAGAGTCGATAATTACTTCTGTCGTGTATCAATGTGTGGTGTATTCCGGGAGAATGTTCCTCGCAGGGCATGTTTAAGGGACCAATTAGCAAAGGGGAAAGGCTCTCATCATGAGAGCGAACGCCAATCAAGCCAATAATAAAGGACTCATACTGCAACAGACTTTTTCACCTCTTGTTCTATTGTTTGTAGCCTAATTATGAGTAATCAAACCGAACATGGGCAAATCTTAAGAACCGTGGCACTGGAAGTAGGGAGGCAAGGGCAGCTTGTTTGTTGGGGGGTGACACTGGCAGCGAAGTGATTGCATGCTAGTCAAGGCTCTTTTTCTATACGTTTACACTAAGCTGAAGCCATTGTCCCTTGTTCAAGTCAAACACAACTCTGCCCTTGCCACAGTTACGGTTAACCATCCATTCTTGCCCTGACACTCGTTCCGATATCTATACAATCTCAGACTGCACTACGTCTTATTATCTTATCAAGGTAGTTTTTGAGTGGTATTTCTGTCTCTTGGCTCTGGAAGTGGTAACGTGAACTGTCCTTTATGGAATGGCCATTTGAGACCTGGCAAGGATCTGTCTTCAGTTACCTTACCGGAAAACATGTGCCCCCTTTCCAGGTGATTCCCTATCTCCCATATCATATTATCATACACACACACTTGCATTTCATACTCTTGAATTCCAGAACTAGCTAACTCTACGACCCAGCCAGACTCTTCAAAACATGATGTGCATCGTTTTCCTCTCGCCCATCGATTGTACCGGCCCAAAGAAGATCACAGAAAAGGCCAAGGAGTCATTTTAGCCTCGGAGGGAATGTCCGATATTGCTTCCAGACCAAAAGCATATCTGCTGCCCTAGCTGCAGAACTGTATTTGTTCATCCGATGTGTGGGCGCTATTTCAACGGGTTGTATGCCCTAGAACAAATCAGATATGGATATCATACCTCCCACGATCAACCACGCAGGTATCATTACCGACTCCTGTGAGCAATACGCTATTGGCAACACTATAGAGGAGCTGACCGATGAATTCCACAATCTCCCCCCGAAGAGCCGAAGGATGTTACGCTATATGTTTGGTCTACGGTAGTAAGACTTCCCCCCACCTGGACACCAAACTATACCGGAATCTACGCTACAGTAGCCTTCAGAGTCTTCGTCTCTCAGCACCAAGGACGCTTGGACAAGCATGAGAGCAATGCGAGGCTCTGGAAGAACTGTTGCCATCCTAGCACCCCTGCGAAGGTCCGTGGCCTGGGATTTCAGCAGTAAATGCTCAAGATTGGTCATGGCTCGTAGTAACAGACAGCATCGGTTTGGCTTAGGCCTGTTGTTAGAGGGGAATATCTGGTTCTTGTTTGGGGTTTGGTAAAGATTGTCGACTCCTATCTGTTCCTCTAGTTTGCGTTTGCTTTTCTGCCAGTTGCAATCTATGATTACGTGTACCTATTGAGATATAAATAAGAGCCTAAAGACTCTTTCTAGTCGCGCCCAGTATCAACTTGGATTTCCCATCTTCATCTCTTATATACTATTTCGTCTATAATCAGAGGCCAACAAATGTGCCAACCAATACAACAAGATATAGTCGCTATATCCGCCGTCAAGTGAACAGAGATCCTTATACTATATAGCATTGCATCACTTGCCGAAACTATCATGAGCTTCTATCACCATACCCTGATAATGGTCCTCTACCTAGAACCCAAGCTCAGTAAACGGCTAAAGCGAACCCTTTTCGCCATGAACAGTGACAAAAGGCCAGTACAAGCGACGGTATGTGTTTCGTCTGGACTTCGGCCCTGTCAGTGTCAGTCACAGTTCCAGTGGCAGTGATACGGACGAAGTAGTCACTCTATTCGAGAGCACTTGTTCAAGCTCGGCTTCTGTTCTGTTTCTATAACGCAAGAACTTCGAGCCCTCTTCTACTCTTTCGTTTCTTCCTTCTTGCAACAACTTCGAGGTTCCTTGTTCTACAGCTTTGGGTAATCACCAAATCTGTAGTCCTTCAAGGTAAAACTTGACTTTTAACTGCATCCTTGTTTCACCTACTCCCATCGTCTTCATACCGAGCTAACATATCAGCCAGAACTAATATTACTAAAAGCCACAAACAACTTTCGACGTATCCTGGAATACCTCCCGAAAGAATTCCCATATCTCAACACTTGACGTCGACCCCAATGCCTAACCAGGAGCATTTCTGGCCTAATCTCAAGGCCTTTGCCGAGGACAACCATGTCACCCGCCTGGAAACTCTCGGCCTGGAGTGCGTCATCTGCAGAGACTCGTTCCACTACCGATGCCGAAGCGACGATGGAATTCAGCCTCCACGTCGTCCTCGCGTCCTCCCATGTGGCCACATTCTCTGCGCTAGATGTCTAATCGCATATTACGACACAGGGGATACCCGATGCCCTATTTGTCGCACGGAACTCGTCCACGACTGCGGCCACGCTCACACCGGGATGCCCTTGCCCTTGACTCCGGCGAACATGAACAAGGTGCCTCCCATCTTGTCACAAGGTGGCGATATGCCAAAGGGATGCAGCCCTTGTGGCATCTTGGCTTTGCATCAACTCTTTGAGCGGAAATTGAGCGAAAGCCCACATATCCCAGAGGTACTCAAGGGCGAGCATCTGGGTATCGGTATCACGCTCTACAACGCTGATGAATACTACACGCGGGAGGTGACTGGGCCTGTTCTCGAAATCGAGCCTCCTACCTCCATCAAGCATATGATCAGTGAGATTATTGACTACGCTGTCCGATCGCAGCGACAGAACCAGGTTTGGTTGGAAGCGGACTTCAGTTCCATGAAGATCCGGGTGCTTCACTTCAAACCGGAGATTCTCCCACTGGAGGAAGTCTCCCCTGAGGAGCAAGAGACCGCCCCCCAGGGTGATAACTAATAGTTATAAACAGACAGACTCTCTCGAAAGCGAAGAGACTTGAGATTCGTGAAGGGCTTTGGTTCCTAGGACAGGTAGAGGATGACCAGATTTGGGACGATGATACCCCTCAAGGGAGATTTATTGACATGTGCCGGACAAATAGATCCGTAGACTTCGGTAGCGTATGTAACTAGGTACCCTGAATACAAACATGCATTCATGAACTGTGGGTTCTGATGTTAGAGCATTTCCCATTTGTCTTAACAAGTAAATGAGCAACTGAGACTACACCCTAAGGAAACTTGGGACACTGAAAGGGGATGTTAATGTATTTTTCAAAAAGACCCTCAAACTTAGACTAAGTACAGAGATCTTGATATTGTGCAGAATTGAGGTCTCGAATCTTACGTGTTCCTCCCTGCTCGCTTAGAGATATGAGATATCGATATAATATGGTGCTCTACCAAAACCAGACCATGTCTACCCTTACTTTGCAATAAGTGGTGTTGTTTCTTTTTGATCATAAAACAGGAGAAAATACACAATCACTTCAGTTCGAATATTTCGAATACCACATTTCTTAGTGTCTGTTCAATAAGTAAATTTATTCCCCTATAGGTACCTTGATATGATGATAACAAATAACGCCATCCATTCACAAATGCCCGCAGTACCCTCAATGACACTCACCCCAGCTGTCCCCAGAAAGAGTACACGATACTAGATCGTCTTGACGATCACTCTGCAAGCTTCTGTTCCACAATCCTTGACACTTTACTGTTCCCTACCTCAACAAATGTGCCTAGCAAGAAACGCACGGAATTGGTGAACACTGTCCAAAAGCCCACCAATAACTTGGATAGCAGCCACGGCGTAGAGTCTCCCATTCTCGTTATCCTGAGTATCCTGGTCATCTGTGTCACTATGGTGTTCTTCGATATCCTGGGCCAGGTCTATACGTCGTACCACGTCCCAACATACAAAATACATATAGTCCTGACGTTCGTCGTCTCTCACCTTTTCCTTGTAATTCTTGTAAGCCACATCACTGGTGAACGCCTCGGATAGCTTTACTGCATCCCCAAGAGCATGGGCAAGTCTATCAAGATTTTCATACTCCGACCATTCATACCTGGAACTCTCCAGTTGTCCTCTTCGATGGGGCCAATACTCGTGATCCTCCGGAAATCGCTTACAGAGAGCAAGTTCAAAATTAAACGGGCATGATTCTTCCCCTGGAGCACGAGGCCCATACCACGCCGTGTCGAGGCTCTCACTCGCAATCGTAAACAGTTCCATAAGCTCCGGCGATATAGGCAACTGCTTGATCACTTCGCTCTTGTCAGTTTCGACTCTGATCTCCTTTTCATCTCGTTTCTCAACAGTAACTCGCAACATAAGTCCGGCTTTGATGATCGGTACGGGATCATATAAGTAGAGAGTAATACATCTCAAACCGCGGGCCAGAGTAGTCATTTGACACCAGACGCAAGTGCCCTTTCGGCGAGAGATTTGCTCCTGAAGTCTAGCCAACAGGTCCTCATCTTGGTTCTGTGTGGGATCGAATAACGTATCTTTGTCGTCCGGACACCCGCAGACTTTGCTTTTAAGATCAAAGCGACAGACAGGACATCTGGAAGGGACATCGTTTGATATGTTGTACTGTCTAAACTCCCGGACACAAGGGGGACAGAACATATGACCGCAGGGTAAAATGATAGCACTGCAAGTCTTGTCCTCCGGGTTGCTCATCTTGTCCTGACACACGCCACATTCGATCTCTAGGCGCTCGATAGCTGTGGGGTCATTGTTGATGATCTTTGCAAGCTCTGGATAGTAGGCTACGGTGATAGGATCTTTAGGGGAAGACATTTTGAGAACCTGGTCGCTGTTAGTTAAGATATGGCTTGTTAGTGGTAGTATTGCTGGTAGTTGATGGATGGGTGGAAGAGGATCCCGCTACAAATGTTTCAGAGGTGAGTTAGTGTTAAATAGTTTGAAACCATGAATTATGATACACCGCGGGCACTGAACATAGTCATTGTGCGGCTGGAGGCTTCACGCTTATCATATGGCCGGCTCTCCATCTGTTGATCTAACAGAACCTTTGTTAACACATAACCAGACTGCCTTGCACACTGGGTCCGGTGAAGGAACAGACCGCGGCTACCTATGTTCTCTGAAAGCATGATCGTCAATTTTCTTCTTGCATTGGGAGAGTTCTATCAATATCGCTGGGGGACATTTTCCCTATCCCCCAGCAGAGTAGCGTTATTCCGCTATCGAGTAGAGACTATATTTTCGTTCATAGACGCTAGAGCAGATACTTATTACCTGTTGATCAAGGTCTAAGAGTAATTCATGCTGTATTCTATTAGAGGCGTCACGGATATTTGTCAACTGTAAAAAGGGCAGAGATTCTCACTGAGTGTAGGCGAATACTGACCAAAGCTATTCACAAGACGGCCTAGAAGAATTGGAGATAATCCCAAGCCACGCCCATTCATACATCAGCTGAATTTCTTTTTTTTTTAAGTTTGCAAGATCAGCTCTATATTTCTCGCACATATACACTTAACTTCGAAAGTTCCTATACAGAGAGCACCATGGACTTCAACGGTATGATCACAGGGTCATCTGGTTAAGGTATCGTACGGTCGCAATGGAAACATAACGATGAGGACAGCAGTTTATTATTTGATCCAATCCTGGATACCTGTATGAAAGGAAGCATTTCATCTACTATACTTTCCTTAACTTACCTACCTTACTTACCTTTTCTTCAAACTCTGTGCATATCTGGCAATTCAGCGTTATCATCCACCCCTTCATCTTCTCTCAGGATACTCTCTCTTGCAAGATTTGCTCGCTCGTTGATCTTTTTACGAACATTCTCGTCGGACCAATAATCACGTAGGTCGAAAGCTAGGTCCAGAACCATGAGCTTCCGGCTTCCAACCCAACAATCTCGCATCTCCTGCTCCGTCTTCGTGATGCAGCGTCTCTGCCATACAAGAAACTGGTGGTCTCTATCTCTCATCTCAGAGAGGCGAAGCTCATACTGAAATACGGTGGAACCATCTTCGGGCACCGCAATACCATGAGCCTTTAGCAGGCCCTCCTCAATAATCTTAATCGGGACCTCAAGGTGCCGAGGTAACGGCTCCTGTTTGAGGAGCCTCGTGTCCTCGTACATCTCGACATCATTCCATGTCTTACCTTCATATTCTACGTATACTGTAAGAATCTGTCCGTTGTTAGCCATTTCCGTACAATCTTGAGATATTTTCAACAAAATCTGCAACCAGGATGTGAATATTTTCATATCACAGCTGAAGCAGCGCCACCGATTATGCCATAGCTTTAGAATGTTCTCAATTAGCGCAATTGACTTTTCACCATCCATGTGAATCAGACTGCCCCTATCGGAGGGGGTATTGCAATGTGCACAATGCAGAATCGCACGGCACGTTGGGCAAACATACTGCGACTCGGCGTCGTTTCTGTAGTTAGCCACCATCGTGTCTACGCATCCCTTACAAAAGATGTGCATGCAAGGGAGTACAAAGGCACGGAGATGAGGATCAGCTTCATCTTCGAATGTCATCTGTTCGTGGCATATTCCACACTTGAGCTGAATATCAAGAATTTCGTCAGGGTAATCATCACACGCCTGCAAGAAGGCGGGGAAGTAGGTTTCGGTGACAGGCATATTCGTGGTGTTGTCCGTGTGGTTCCTGGTACTGGTGAGTCTGTTAGTGCTGGATACTGACTTACCTAGAGGTATGTGTATCACCAAACAAAGCTGGTAATGTGGTCGAGAGGTGAAAGATGCGTTTCGGTGCGGTGCGGGAATACAAACGACGGCTTCAAGGGCGCCTGTGTGTATCTTATAGTCCATGTGCTGCTCACCTCACAACACTCTCATTGGGGGTTTTCCATGATCAATCTATCTTGTTCAGAGGGACGTTTCGTCGGATAGACGAACAGAATACTATAACGGAGCATGCTATTTCCTACTACTGATCTGGGGGTCAGGGATATTCATATATCGTTCATGGCCAACCTTTGTCTGAGAGACAATGGCTTCTTCAAAAAGGAGAACAAGCTCAATTGCCATTCGTAAGGCAACACGAACAGCAAACCAACACCTGTCGTCTTCGCCGTGATCACGAGACTAACTTATGGTTTATCATCTCAGGAGACGATTCGAAGCGAAATTGGGGAGAGCGGAATACGCGGAATGAGGGTTCCATCAATAATTAACACTTACCTCCACTAGAGATCTTAATTTAAGCATATCAAATTATGATGTAATCTATATTTTATGGAATTTTGTGTTGTTTTCCCCTAGTTTGATTGATTTCTTCTCCAGACGATTCTGAATCTTCTTTTTGGTGTTGTGCAGGGTAGCACTCCAGTTTCTGTACGTACCAACTTTGCAGCTCAGATCTCACTTAATGCATCCTGTAAACGCTGACCCAAGCGAACGGTACTGACTCTGAATGGCCTACAACGACCAACACAGACAAGAGCCAAGGCTTGGATATTATAGTTCATATACTCTTTGTTGGTCTGTAGCGCGCGCCTCCAAGTTTCTATTCTAAGCATTTCCCTTTCCCGTGTTTAACAGATAACGCTCGCGAACTTTGCTCGTAGCCAATAAACCTCTAGACGCCCTTCAACTCCAGACACAGGGGATTGTTTCACCAGCAGTCGCTAAGCCACTGATGTCATTGGCCTGGAGTTGTCCAATCTGCAGTGTTCTTGATGATGCTAGGATTTTCCAGTTTTCGTACCCAGAAACCCCCCCAAGCGGGGGGCTTTGTCCCGTCGGCTAAGTACCCGCTCAGTGGAGTGATCCAGTAAAAGCCCCTGTTTGCCTGACTACCCTTATCGTGTGTCCAATCAAACACCTACAGGTTCCCAGATTGGTATGGACGGTTGCCTCTGAGGGCAAGGGGTATCCTGCCATGACGCGACAGAGGGCGGTTGGCCAAACACTGGATGGGATATCTTGGAACCATGGAAACCTTCTTTCTTGATACCATCATTCCCTGGAATTTCTCTTCCTAAAAGACCTTTTCTTAACTAGTTTGCTTATTCCTAGGAGTATTTGTCTCGGCGGTACCGACGATGCTGTTTCAATCAACACGTTTCTAATTATTTGCAATTATCCTACGTTACTCTTTGAGAACAAGTCTGTTTTATCTGCTCCCCATTTGGGGCACCGCTTCTCTCCTCTCTCCTCGTATACGAGTTCAACCTTGTCCGCCAGCTCAATTCGAAAATGTCGTCAGCAAATTCTGACGCTTCAGGGTCGGCGACAGATTCCGCCACAGGGACAGCAGCTTCAGTCACCAGCTCTATCGTGAGCTCGCTGATCTCCTCAGCTCTCTCCGCCTCTGAAACCCTGAGTGCATCCGAAACCGCCTCCGATGAGCCTACAAAAACATCGTCGGGTGGCTTCTTGGGCACCACCCCCGAGACGACCAGCGCTGCCGACACCGATCGCGGTATTGGAATCGTCACTTTCCTCACTGCGTTGGTAGTCGCTGTTGTTATTTTTACTGTTCAGCTTGTGGCCTTTCTTCTCCTCCGCAACAAACTGGCCCGCATCTTGTACGCCGCACCTTGTCCATGTTTCAAGAAGCTCTGCCGCTAACCAGCTCGCAGTAAACCAAAAACCTATCTCGTACCCGAACGTGAGCGAACCGAATCACCGCCCCGGAGTATTGCTCGTATGCTCAAGACATTATGGCACTACGACGACCGTGAAGTGATCAACAAGTGTGGTCTTGACGCCTATTTCTTTCTCCGCTATTTGAAGACGCTGCTCATCATATTTCTTCCCATCTGCTGCATTGTTATGCCGATCTTGATTCCTATCAACTTTGTGGGCGGCATTGGACAGAAAGTCAACGTCAACGAGACGGAGCGCAGAGAAGCCGGAAATAAGCCCACTGGTCTGGACACTCTCGCATTTGGAAACGTCAGCCCCAAAAATACAAGCAGATATGCTGCTCACTTGTTGATGGGCATTCTCGTGGTTATATGGGTGTGCTGGGTATTTTTCGTTGAGCTCAGGGTCTACATCAAGGTTCGACAAGATTACCTTACAAGTGCAGAGCACCGCCTTCGTGCTTCGGCTACTACCGTCCTAGTGAACTCAATTCCTGCCAAATGGCTCAGCGAGGATGCTCTGAAGGGTCTCTTCGATGTTTTCCCCGGTGGCATACGGAATATTTGGATCAACCGAGACCTATCGCCTCTGCTTGACAAAGTCAAAGAACGAAATGCTATCCACGCCATGCTTGAGTCAGCAGAAACCGACCTCATCAAAGCTGCGAAGAAGGCTCAGCTCAAGCAGGCAAAAGCAGCAGAAAAGAAAGAGCGAAAAGAGATGAAGCTCAAGGCGCTTAGTAAGCAAGAAAGAGCTGAACGACAGGCAGAGGTAGACGCCGAAGCTCAAAGAATGGCAAACAGTGCCGGAGGACAGACTGCTGGCGACAAGCATGATGTTCCTCATGATATTGATGCTGGTGTTCGTGAGTCACAATATGAGATGTATCTCAATGAGGAACACAAGCACGAGCATGATGAGAAGGCCAAGTCAAAGGGCTTTAAAGTGCCTCTTTTGGGTGATCCGCTTTCTAAAATGGGCCATGGCATCATGGGCGTCGTTTCTAAGACTGGCAACAATGTTGATGAGACTTTGGAGACAACCAATGGATTCATGGGCATATCGCAAACCAACGAAAATCGAATTCCATCCCGCAACTCTGACAGGCATCGCAATCAGGTCTCGGTAGATGAAGAGGAGCTTAACTCGCCCTCAGACACCCTTCGCGTGCAGAACAACCAGTCGCGGA